TCCATAAAAACAAGAGGGTTCCAAGTCACCGAGTCAGGGTTCCAGGGGTGAGCAGAGGAACTGTTCTGACCTGGACACAGAGAGGGGATTTGAGCTGTCTTAACTTGGAGACGAATCAAAAGGTCGTATCAGGTTGGAAGGAGAGCCAGTACTGCAGACTCCCAATAGCTGAGTTAAACTATACCCGGCTGGCTTCCACTGCAGAGTGGTTCCCCAACTCCCCAAGTCTGTACCCCAGTCTTTGGCTCTGAAGTGGGGCAGTTTTGCCCTCTGGGACTCACTCAGGCATTGTGTGGGAGGTTCTGTTTCAATGTGGAGTAACTGCTGGCTTTGGGCCGGCCTGGCTGAGCTCGGCGCCTGCTTCCAGCCCCCTCCTTCCCCTCCTCCTCCCCCTTCCCCTCCCCTGCCCTCCCTTTCTGGGTTATTCTTAGCAAGAGGTGACCTCAGAGTGCTCCCACTGAGCAAAATTAACCCTGGAGGAAGTTGGTGGGTATAAATCTTCAATGAATAAATACATACAGCTAGTAAATAGGGCATGGAGCCCCGAACGGCTGGCTGGTCATCCCCTAGGATGTGGTGGGCAAGGGCAGAAACTATCCTGCCTAATACCCCAGCTGTAACCAGCACGAAGGACAAAGGCAGTCGCAGGGCTTGTCTGGGCTTGTGACCAGGCAGGAACCAGCTTCGGACACCCTCACTTCTTACTCCGTGACGTCCTTGGGAGCTGGTGAACAGGAAGATGCCTCTTCCGCCCACCCCCAACGCTCACACCCACACGCAGGCTGACACTCTTGGCCAGCAGAGACCAGCCCAGGCTGCCACTGTCCCCTCCTCCCTATCGTAGGCACCAGCCAGCTCTGCCTGCCCGCAGGCCCTGAGTCCAGGTGCCAGCTCCCTTCCTAAGCCCCGCCCAGCCCAGCAGCTTCCTGTTTCCTGTCCCCTGCTCAGATCTCAAGCATCTTGGCTCTGAGACCAGTGCCGCAGACCAAGCAGTGCCCAGTTTTAATGGGCCCACCTCTCACTCCTCAGACCACCACAGCCTTACCCACTTCCCCATGGGCTCCCCATGGGTATTTGGGTCAATCACCCTCCTCAGTTATATTTCCTCTGTACACTTTTTGGACCAGGTCTACACACTTTTTCAAACAGCCCTGTGATCATATCTTAACAATTAAAATTTTGGATACCCCGTTTTCTGGATCGCGTGACTGGAGGGGTGAGGAGAGATGAGCACTGTGGGCTTTGCAGTTGGGGGTGTGGAGTCCATCCTCACTGAACCTCAGTCTCTTTATCTGAATGTGAGGAGGGTAGTAACAGGGGCCCCCACCTACCTCTCACAGGTCTGTTGTCGGCATCACATGAAGTCATTGTTGTAAAGGCCTTGTAGGCCATAAAGTGCTGCACAGCTCTGAGCATTCATTCATCATCTCTGCCCTCAGTGAGGTGGGTCCACAGCGCACTATGGCTCAGTCAGCGACTGCAATGCTGGGGGCACTAAACATCAAATCTCGTGGAAGTGACAGGCTCTTTCCACCTGCTTTTCCAACTGTCTCGGGTAAAAGGCTAGGTTTTTGTTTTTGTTTTAATTCCCAATCCATGAAGAAATGTTACTTTTGTGAAATATAAAATGATGTATTTGGATGTAGCCACAGTATCAAATTGATATAAAAGTTTCTAAATGCTTATTCTCAAATTCTTTACAGACAGGTGACAGTTTGCAGACCGATGTGAGATCTACAGACTACTGTCATCCAAGCACATGATGGGGGGGGTGGGTGCTTATAGTTTGTCTTTTATTTCTTGGTGTTCATTTTGCTTACTTTTACAAACAGTTCAAAAGGGAGAGTCAGTGTGGGTCGTGTTGGCTGTAAGACAGGCATTGATGGGCTGTGGCTCTGGGGCAGGCAGAGGAAAGAGAAGGCTGTGAAACATGCCTGATGTGTTCAGGGAGCAGCAAGAAGAAAGGGTTTCCGTGTTTCTGTGGCAAGAGGTGGATACCGAGCACCAGTACAGGAGCAGGAAAGACCCCACGGTGAGGAGCTGGATGGAGTATTCCAGATCTTGTTCCATACGAAAGAGAGTCCGTAGAGAGTCTTGAGCAGAGATTTGCCACGGATTGTACTTAGTAGAATTACATGTGGCCTCCTTTCTAGCTTACTAGGTTGAAAGGTAAGTCTTATTGATCTGTGTGGCCTCCCCCACCCTGGTAGGTGCTCAGTAGGTATAAAGTATTGTCCTTGAGGGAGAAAGGGCTGGGGGTTGGGAAACCATCCTGGGGAAGGTGGGGTCTGGTCTGGGTGAGGGTGCAGCCAGAGGCAGGTGCAGGAGCAGGAATGAGTGGAAGGCACCTAAGGACAGAGAGGCCTTGGGGGCAAAGATTTTCTAACCTTGGGGCCAGGGGGGATGGTGAGGACACTAGTAGATGCATCTCATGCAACCTTTGCACAAATAAGGAGCCCAGCCTGCAGCCAGGTTTTCCTCTCTTGCTTCCCAGCACTTCTCCCTCTATCCCTCTATTCCACCTGTTGGGAACTGAGCCAAGCTCCCTCTCCTTTCCAGGCTTAGCTGGATAACACACACTCCTCAGCCTAAAGCTCCCTGGCCAATCCTTCTCAGGGCCACAGCTGCACCAGGTCCCCAAGAAAGCCTCCCTGCTGTGCTCCTCTGCCAGGGAAGGCAGGAGGCCAGGGCAAGTACTTGTTCCACAAGTGAGCCAGATGCCTGTGGGCCAGGGGACCATGGGTTGACTGACCTCTAGCTGCAGCACGAATTTCCTCCTCTGCACACACACTGCCCCACCCCCCACCCCCGGGCCTGCTGCCCAGGAAGGGCTCTGCTGGCAGTTTTCTCTGAGTCAGTCTTCCTGTCCCCCCAATTGCAAGGGGTCCTTTCATGACGGCTGCCTCAGGCCCCTTCCTCCCCAATCAGCCTTGCCTTCCCCACGCTCTCTCTCCTATCCTGGACCACATGCAGACTGACCTGCAGAGCCTCCTAGGGCTGTTGAGAAGCCCGTGCTAGGCTCCCGCCTGAAAGGCCCTGCAGACACTGGCCTCACCGGCCCCTGCAGGGGAACAGGGATAGTATACTGTCAGCCCTGTGCATTTGGACTCCACTTTGCTGTTTGCAAAGCATCACTGGAGTGGCCAGGGCAGGTATTACTGGTGGCCATATTTTACAATATGCAGAAGTTCAGAGAGGTTCGGTAACTTGCTCAAGATCACACAGCTGGGAAGCTGTCAATCCAGTGCTGTTTCTTCTGTCAAACTGAGGTTGCTGTGGCCTCCTGAAGAGGAGAGGTTTGGCCAGCCAAGGACAGGGCCAACCTTCGCTGAGCACTAGCTCTTTGGTGACTGAGCCCGTTTAATTCTCACAGGAGTCTAGGAAGAACCCTAGAGATGCTTATCATCTCTATTTTTCAGAAGGGAACCCAAGGTTCCAGGTTACATAGGTGGTCAGTGGTGGAGGCGGGATTTAAACCCAGGTCTGCTGGACTCCAAAGACAGAGCTCTTCCTTCCCCCACTCAGCTGTGCCCCTTTCACCTCTCCTTTGTACATCTCCAGACACATTTCCACAGACCTGCTCTGATTTCCTAGCACCCTCTGCCCTGGGGCTTCACCCGGCCTTTTGGTGACATACCTTCCTGCTCCTTCCAGGGACTCACAAGGAGGGGTCAAAGGATTGCAACATTTTTATTTGCTGAAGGTGGGAGCTTTTGTCCCCTGCACCCAGATCAGGGAAGGTGGGTCATGGGCACACATGCAGATGTGGAATTAATAGTGGTCCCTGACTCAGCCTGGCTCCCCCACCCACTCCAGCCTGCACTGTACCCCCACCTTCTCACACTAGGTGCCTTATGGGGGAGGAGAGTGGAGGGGCACCCTGGGAATCTGCACCCTGGGGTGCAGCCTGGAGTCTGCTGCAAGTTGGACATTCCTTTGAAGTCCCCTGTTTTATCTTTCACTTCATGTGAATTTTTCATTCCAGGCCATAAAATATCCATGTTTGCTTTAGTATTAAAATACCGAAAATTACTTACCAGTTAAATGACTTCCCTTCTGCCCCACCCCTCCCCTTCCCCTCCAAATCTTCAAGCAGAATTGGGAGTGGTGCACATTAGTACCCGGAGGCTCCCAAAGCCCCTGGCTCTGAGAGCCACCCCCTCAGGTCCAGCTGTTGCAGCCCTCTCTCCCTCAGCTGTCTCCTTTTCACCATTCACCCTGACCGCCCAAGGGAGAAAAACCCTGCCCCACTGAGAACATTTCCTTGAAGGGCACAGTTACAAATCCAGAGCTCCTGGCTCCTCTCCTTACCTTCATGCTTCAAGTTTCCCATTCTCAGCTGGAAGGGGCTAAAAGAAAGGAGCCAGCTGTCTTTGGTGCTGGCAGATAGCTATTGCTCTGCTTCTGAATTTAAGGCATAGGAAGGCAGGCTCCTACAGACTGCAGGCCTTGCCCTGCAGAGCACTCCTCATCTGGGGCAACCCCAGAGCTCCCCCTAGACTCAGAGGCAATGGCACCCAGCTGCATGGGTCTTGCGAGCCGCCTGTGGCCCACACTTTTAAGGGACTTAAACAGAGCCCAGCTCTCCTTTTACCAAGGGACTCCTCAGCCTGCATCTCTTCCCTACTCATTTTGATCGGACTCCTAGACCTCAGTTCCCTTCCTCCAGGTTCTCCAGATGGGGCTGAGGCCCAGGGTGGGTGTGTGGATGGGGAGAGGAGGAGGGGCCTGTGCAGGCAGGTTAGGCAGAAGCAAGTTCTGCCCTGTCAGGATTCTTGCTGCCCTTTCAGAAGGAAGGCGGGAGTCAGGGGCCTGGTTCAAGGGCTTGCTCTGCCCGAACCCCACAATTCGATGTAGAAAAGGGAAATCGTAAGAGTGGTTGAGGGGCTCAAAGAATGGGGAAGCGGCCACGCCACATCTCAACATACCCAGGGCTCTGCAAGACACACATCACTGCGTGTGTGCATGCGTGTGTGCTGCGGGGTTGCCAAGACACTTACCAGGGGGTGCTTGCGTTTCCTCCCAGGCCGCCCCACCTTCCGGGCAGTTGTGCTGGGCTCCTGACGCTCCTCCTTGCCACGTGCCTCCTCCTGCTCCTCTCCCTCCTGCGGGCACAGACACAGCCTGTGAAGCCACGGCTGGATCCAACAGGCCTCTTCCCCATCCCACCCCCACCACAGCCACACTCCCTAGCCTGTGCCATGTGGTCCCCACGGCAGGGATGAACTTTACCCCCTTTGGCCTGGAGAAGCTTGAGCCACCTTACAGCCTCATTTAAATATACCCTTGGGGGACTCAGGACCAGACTCTGATGCCCCAGCAAATGCCGCTCTCCCTCCCGGTGGCCACATTTCTGAACTGCGGAATCATGACACGCACTGACGAAGAATTTGTTTCTGGGTATGCATTTATTTATATGGGGGGGGGGAATCTTACACAGTACAAAAATTAAATTAGATATGCATTTAATGAATCTTTATTGAAAAGAATGACATCACAAGAAAAGCAATATTGAACTTAGTAATGAATATTGGAACTACATGCAACACTTGGAATGAGGACTAGTATAGGCAATGGAGACTTTTACAGCCCCTGTAAATAGAAAATATATCCTGAAGGGCCTGCCATTTGGCACTGGCATTGCATGTGCCTGTCACCTCACAGGAGCATCTCAGGGTGGGTGTCTTGGTTCACCTTGATCCCCTCATTCACCAAGTTCAGGACCAGAAGTTTGGTTTGGTTACCCATACCTCACTCAGCACCTGCCAGGTCTAGGTCTGGGGTACAGAGACATAAACATAGAAAGTCCTCCTGCTTTACTGCTCAGCCTGGCCACAATCACCCACTCGAGTCACTCAGTTCTGACTCAGCCACTCCAGCATGACTAATCAGGAGGGAATCGATGTTGAGGAAGGACAGAGAAAGGGACCCTGATGCCCTCTGTATGCAAGGAGGCAAAGATGGCTTCAGGGTCTCCCTGGAGAGGGCACCAACTCAGGAGCAGTGCTGGTGCCAGGGAGAAGAGAGGGCAGGTACACAGGTTCCCTGAGGAATTGATCGAGATGGCCCTCCATGTCCTACTCAACTTCCATTTCCTGTGATTTCAAAACAGCTTGTCGTTTGCGATATTAATTTTCAGGTGATGGTGGGATATGCAGAAACCTACTGGACCATCAATGCATTCAAGGCATGTAGCGGGACAGACCCTCCCGGAGGAAGATCTGGGGATGTCGTAGCTGAGGTCCCAGGAGTCCTTCAAAGAGATTCATGTGGAAAATGAATAGAGGTGCCAGGCCTTAGCACCTAGTGGAGGCTGCATTCAAGTTGGAGGGAGGGCAGAGTACATAAAGGAGATGGAGTGTTCAGAGGAGCAAAAAGAGGACACTGGGGTATTATGAATGCAAGGAAGGAGAGAGCTGCCAGCCCAAGAGGTCAAAGTGACCAGATGCAAAGAATTCAAGGACAAAGCAATATGGCTAGGGGTAGGCATGGTCAACCTTACAGAGAATGCTGTCCATAAGCTGTGCAATGAGGACTGAGGGGCTGGACAGGGGCCAAAGAGACAATTTAAGGAGCCCAGCTAAGAAAGGTCTGAAAGAGAAGCCAGGGAGCTTGGTGCCTGTCTGTGGGTAAGAGGGGAGGGCACCAGGCCAAATGGTGAGCTCTGGGAGTCTGTGAGAACTCTGGGAGGCCCAGGCTGATGGGGTCCAAGGGTATATGCCCCAAGGTAGGCCAGGCCTGCTGGTTCCGAGCTGTCTTCTGAGACCCCACAGACACTCTTGCTTAAGAAAAGATCGCTTAGATCTCAAAGAGAGGAAATGTTACCAATGCAGCTTAATATTTGTAAGGTTTTCAATTGGATCTATAAAACTATAATGAATGCCAAGCTGAGGTGGTGTTTCTGGTGTGGTTCCACCACTGCTGAATGGGCGCACTCTTGATCCTTCTGACCAGGTAACTCAGCACTTACTAAACAATCAAAGTCAATGTGAAGTCATGGAAGGGATAGGGCCTACAGCAAACCACAGTGCACATGAGCCCATATGCTAGTTACAGGACCATCCTCTCTGAGCCTTAGTTTCCTCATCCATAAAATGGGTGTCCATTCTGCCTATTTCTCAGATTTTTAAGGACAGATGAACAAATGATTTGTCTCTTGTCTATTTTGTTTACTGCTGGATCTCCAGAGCCTAGAACAGGCCTAGCACTGAGCTGGTGTTCCACATGGCCCCCAGATGAAAGGGCTTACATATTCCTGGGCAGCCAAAGGCCTGCCCAGCCCCCGTACTTGCCTGGAGAGCACTAGGCAAGACCCAGTACAGCCTCTGGCCATTCCTAGTGGCCAGGCCCATGGGACTGGAATGCACAGGACAGAAGACAAGAGGCAGTGCCAAAGTGGACCAGGATCAGCCTGGGCAGCATGGGATCCAGAAAGACTCCTTCTGCCCAGCAATCCTGGCTCTGAACCATTTCTTTATAACAAACTGCACTTCTTATGAGGGTTCATTTGATTTTTATCACTTTTATTCTGAACGAATCAGAGACGTGAAAGCCAATCAGAGCCTCTGATCAGCAAAAAAGAACCACGATTACCACGCAGAAATGCCCCCAAAACAAAGGCACTTCACATTTCAGGACCTGCAAGCCCCAGCTTCCATTAGCATGTGGAGAAAGCCTTTGGGGGCCTCTGATAGGCAATCCCCATGCCATCTGCAGCCTTACTGTTATTCCTCACCTTACACCACACGTGCTCAGCACATTTTTCCCCCTGTTGAATTCAATTCAGTACAACACAGCCCAGGAGGAAGGAGTGGAATGCCCTGATGCCACACCACCTGTCCAGGTCCTGATCTGTTTAGAGTGTGGGATCTCCAGGGAGGCTGCCTTGTACTGAGCCTATGCCTCAGACCATGTGGGGCAAGGTGCTTTATGCCTGGCCCAGCATTCAGGCACCCCTGGGCTGTGCTTGAGGAACCAAAAGTCCATAAGAGACTGGGTTAGGACTCGCACCCAGGCCTGAGTGACCCCATGCCCTTTCCATCAGGCCCTGAAGCATGGCTTTGGGAAAAGCATGTTACTCCTGGTCAACATATCATTCTTCCTCGATGTAGTCACAAGTCACAGGGCAAAGAGGAAGGCAATATCTTCTGCTCCAGGCCTGAGTTCACACGACCAGTTAGGGGGCTAACACACTGAGAAGGGTGAGCAGGTGGCTCCATCCCTCTAGGAGGCGAGGCGTAGCAAGGGGTTCATTCTCGCATCTGTCATGGGACCTGTTTCATTCAATATCTTTGCCGATGCATTGAGCAAAGGAATTTAAAATACGCTTATCAAATCTGCAAGTAGCACTGAATCAGGGGGCGTCGCTAATACTCTGAAAGGGGAGAATCTGACCCACAGGGACTCAGAGCAGCTGGAAACTAGTAACAAGTTTAGCAGAACAGATCTGAGCCCAGATTGGTTTCCTCATCTGTCAAGTAAGGGAACTAATTAGTCAATCCTTTCAGTGGGAAGTAGCAGGAGGGGCTGAACTTCTATGTAGGTGGGCTTTGGGAGGGCAGAGGCGGGCTGGACTTTGTGGTCTGCTCTTTATTCACAAATAACTTCAAGAATATTTAACCTCTCTGGGTCTTGCTTTTCTCGCCTTCAAAATGGGGATAATAATATCTACCTCATAGCGATGCTACAATTAAATGAGGTAATATATGGGAAGTTGACATGTGATACTCAAGAATTGCTAACCTCCTCCACTCCCGCAGCACATCCTGACCAGAACTATTCACAAAAGTGCATCCCTCCCTCCTACCCCATCTTCCCTCCTGCCCGTGCAGATCCCAGCTCACTGCCCTGCAGATGCAGGCATCACTCATTGTACAGACACACCCCAACATCTGGCTGGTGCTGTGGCAGAGATACTCAGAACACTGGGGCTCCGTGATCTTTCCAAAATGCAAAGCCGATTATGTCACTCTGCAGAGCTTAAGCCCTTGCTGAGGAGCTCCCAGGAGCCTGCAGGACCAAGCCAAGCTCCTTAGTCTGTGTGAAGGAAGGCCCCTCAGAGTCTGGTCTGCAGCCCTGGACTCGTATGTCCACTGCCTTCCTCTCACCTGTGTGCAAACAGACGGCGCCAGGTGCAAAAGAGGGCCGCGTCCCTCCCCAGCACCTTGGCACAGACCTTTCCTTCTATCCCAACTACCTTTCCCTCAGGTTGATCAGTAAATCCTCAGTTTTCCAGCTTACTTCCTCAATCCCCTTCCCCTGGGCTCTCCTCCCATCTCCCATCTACAATGAGTTCCTAGTCCTCCTATAGTTCCCACTACCTAGCACTGCAACTGCCAGCTACTGTCCTGGCCAGGCCACCAACTCCTTGAGGTAGGGGCCTGTCTTATTCACCTTGATACCTCCACTGGTATGTGTCTAGACCGATGCACCTGACACAGGGAAGGCACTCAAAATTACCTGATGTTTGACTGTCACGTAGTAGGTGCTCAATAAGTGAGTCCACACACACACAGAGGCACACACACAAATCCACAAACCTGTACAAGTACAACCATGCACAAGGTTCCCGTGCCGCTCTGATCATTATGACCCCAAATCAGGAAACAGGGTGACTAAAATGTACTCTCTGGGCTTAAACATAATCATGTCACTTTACATTTATGTAACTCTTTACAGCTTTCAAAGCACCTCCACATTTGGTGGCCTGTTAGATTATGTAGCTACCGTCAGCCCCTCTCAATGTCTGAGGCTATGCTTTGACCTACATTTTAACTCAGTTCACTGGATAGATTATTTTAAGCCACACAACTTCTCATTCTGATGAGCTGGGCTACGACGATAATAATCTCTTGCATTTGTACAGTATGTGGTAATTAACAAAGCATTTTCACATATGTTACCTCATTTTTATTCTTACACTTTACAGAGAGCAGAGCTGGTACTATTTTTTTCCCATTAGACAGGTGGGAAATCTGAAGCTCAGAGAGGTTATCTAACCAGCAGAGATCAGAGAGCCAGGAAGTGAGGCCTTTAGAATCAAAATTTATATCTTTTTATTCCCAGCCCCTGGGTCTTTCCACTGCAACATGCCACTATACCCTAC